GTGACCTGGGCAGGCGGCAGGGAAACCTTCGTGGCACTCTCTCTCCTGCACCCGCCACCTCCAGGGGCACGCCCACCACATGGAGGCCCAGAGGAGGCTGGGGGAGGCTGGGTTTCTTTGTGTGCTTCTTGGTCCTGTGCTGTTGTGACCACGTCCCCATCCCGGTCTACGGCTCTCTCTGTAGGTCAGGGTCTAGGTCGGGAGATCTATGTCATTTAACATCCACAGCTATTTTGAGGGCTCGCCCAGGAGTGAGTGCCTGTTCCAGGCCCCTGACGTATCCCGGTGGGCAGGATGGACCTGCTGTCTGTCTGCCTGCAACCCACACTAGTTGGGAGAGACCTAAGCAGGCAGGACCAGCTGCAGGAAGCTCACTGAGGGCAGTCTGGGGCTGGAGCCTGTTCCCTGGGCCTCTTACCCACCTTTCCTGTGGCAGCCCAGAGGCAGTCACCTGGTCCCCATGGCGCTCGTTTGAATATCGTCACTCAGTCTGTCGTTGGCTTTTATCTACTCGACCAGCTCTTCTCACAAAATTGCAACCTGAGTGTTTCTTGATTGCTTTAAAAAAAATCACCAATGTCATGTATTTTATTTTTTAGAGCTTTCTTACGTAGGTTTATTTCTTAGCAAGAGCTCTCCGGAAAGCTGGGTCCTAGTATCATATCAGCTAATGCATGAGTCGCTGCTACCTCTAGGGCAGTGCTCCTCAGTGGTGAGCATTACGGCTAGTAGAGGGTCACAGGCACGTCGCAGCACCCGGAGCCTGGGGGCTCGTGACTTAACCACCCTGTGCCTCCATCGCCCTGTCTACAAAGCGAGAATGACCAGGACAGCAGTATCTGCTCTCCATCTGCTGTGAGGTCCCAGTGAGGGAGACTGAGGCAGCGGCTGGCGCATGGTGGTCAAGTCCAAGCCAGTTGGTGCCCATGCTCCCTTTCTGCTCTGGGGGCTGAGGTGCGGCTCTGGACGCAGGATGCTCTGAGCTCAGCTTGGGTTTCCCATTAACGCGCCTTTGATCTCAGTTCACCCATTTCCGCAGAGCGTGCGGCTCCGGCTCGCAGGGGCACCTTGTGTGAGTGCGTTCCTGGGCTCTTTGATGAGGAGTGCAGGGAGCACACTTGGTCTGGGCATGACAGCTTAATGACTTTCCACAATAACTTCTCATATCAAAGATTATTTCCCTGAAGCCCGGGAGCTGAAACAATATATTTTTGCTAGGAAATAAACAAACTTGGAAGAAGGAAATGAGAATTTTCTCTGCTGCTTGCAACAATTTGCCTTTAAAAATTTCATAACATGTGCTTTCATTAAATAAAAATATCCACCCTTCCTTTCCTTTTTATCTTGTGTTTTGTTCCACTTGGCTTCCCTAAGAGATTTGAAAATGAACTGATGTGGAAGATAAACCCAGAAAAACTCAATGCAGTTTGTAGCTTCGTCTTCAGCGATGTTGTTAGACCTTCAGTGAAATTCTAGTTAAAGCACCAGGTACTTGGAGGCCGTACAAGCCTGGAGTTGTTTCCTTGACAAATCATCTTTCCCTGAATGTGTGATCTCGAGAGCCGAAGCGTGCTAGTAAAATTAAAAAGAGGGATTTCTAGCTAAAAGTCATCACAAGTAAAATATGAATGTGAAAGTTAGCCTGTGGGCCAGGAGGGCGTTCATAGGTGGTTTGCTGTGTCTCTGCTGGAGGCTGGGGTCACAGTGTCCTCATCTGAACAAAGGAAGCAGGATGGGTGCTGGACAGTAGGGCGAGCTGGGGCTGGTTCACCTGGAGGATGTCCCCAGGCACAGAGGGTGTGCGGACACTGCATGAGTAGGTCACGGGCACATGGGTGACTTTGCTGGGGAGATTGGGACTTAGTTGGGTACAGAGGGCGAACCGTGGGTGAGTAGGGAGGTGTTCCTGGGGCCACATGAGGTTTCTATGAGCTGTTTGATGAATCACTTGGAGCAGAAGCCGGGGAGGCAGGAGATGCAGGAGAGCTTGGTTTTAAGGATCCAGGTGTCAGAGTCACTGCCTGAATTTGCATACCGGCCCAGTGTCCTTCCAGCAGCTGTGTAATCCTGGTGAGGTTACACGACCTCTCTGAGCATTAGTGTCCTCATGTGTAGAAGGGGACAATGATAGCGGGATTATGACAAGGACTGAGTTGATGTGTGTGGCGGGCTCAGCACGGGGCTCATCCCAGGTCTGGCATCCAGTGAGAGGCAGAGCATTGACTATAACACGTACAGTGGCGGAAAACACCAAGTTGCTCATGAGTTTTTCTAGGAATAACGTTAAATTTCTTCTGCATCCTTATGCATCCACCCCTGAGGCAGGCCGGCACAGCAGTTCCCGGTGGTGTGGTGCTCGGCCAGGGCTGCCCAGGCCCCAGCACACTGTTCACCCCCCAGGGAGAAGCTAGAGGACTTGATGGGGAGCTCTGGCTACTCTACTGCTCACGGCTCCTGTGAGCTCCTATGCTCATGTGACTCCAGGATATGATGTAGGGCAGTGTGAGCAGGGCCATGTAGGATGGGCTGCGTGCCCCCTTCACAGCTAGGGTGGCTCTGCTCAGGTCCTCTCCCAAGGACTGTAGGAAAGGGGAGTAGCCAGTCCCCTGCCCATTTCCCTCCTGACCACACTTTTTAGAGATCTGCTATGTCACTGTGAGCTTCCTGACACTGATTAGTGTCGAGTCCAACACGTAGGGACACCAGGGGTGTCAATAAACCTAACATTACTTACCCTTGTGGGGAGCCCGGCAGCCCAGAGTGGTTCAGTGGAATACCTGGGGTCCAGCACACACACGAAGCATTTTCTTACCAGAGGATAGTGCACGAACGATTCCAGGAAGCAGCATGGGGTGAGCCAGAGGGACAGCCTCCAGTCTTCAGAGCTGCCTGGCTTGCCGTTCCCCCCTCCCACTGGAGGTATAAATGGGAACAGAACTTGGTTCTGCCGACTCCCAGCACCTCCGAGCCCCAGGGAGACGCAGATGCTTCGCGCTCTGCTCACGCCCTTCTCGGCCTGTGATCTGAGGCCATGTCGAGGATTCGGTGACAGGTTTGCATAAACTTAAGATGTTTTCAGTTATTTTAAAGTTGTGCTGTTGACCACTCGTGGAGGGACGGTCGAGGCAGGATGGCAGCCTCCAGGTGGGTTGGGAAGAGCTGTGGTTAGGTGGGGCGGATGTGGTGAGGAAGGACGTCCTGCCACCTCGTGCTGAGTGGGCTGATGGGGGAGGAGGGCCCTCTGGCAGCTGCACTGAGCCCACCCACCCACACAGCTCATCGCACTCAGCATCACGGGGATTCTGGTCAGGAATGGGGTGCTGGCTCCCTTGGCACAGTGATCCCTTGGCCACCCTGGTGGCTTCCTTCCCTTTGCAGTCCCAGGTACTCAGGGTCCTGGGAAGGACACTTTTTGATTTAGTTTATATACAAGCTCCTTGACTTACACTGCTGCTCCTCCCTGCAAACCGTTAAGTGGGAAATACCGTTAAGTCAAAAGTGCGCCAAGTCTACCTGCTCCGTGGCCAGCCCTGACTGTGCTCAGAGCACTTGCCTCAGGCCACACTGGGCAGGTCACCTACCACAAAGCCTAGTTGCAGAAAGTCCTGCCCACTCATGTGGTGTCTTAAACACTGTCCTGGAGGTGGTCACATGGGTGCTTGTGCCCTTCCCAACCTAGAGAATCCAAGTGGAGCCCTGGTGAGCCTGCACGCCTGTGCAGTGTTGTCTCGGCAGTGTGGCCTGACACACTCATGCTTGCTGTTCTCAGAAGGGCTTGAATGAGCAGCCGTGGGCTCTGCGCTCTTCAGAGGTAGGTGCAGGTCCAAGCAGGGACACCGTTGTAATGCCGAGTGCTCAGTAGCCCTGGCCGCAGCTGGTGCTCTTATGTCACAGATGAGGAAACAGAGGTTCAGAGAAGCTCGTGAACAATGCCTCTGCATGCTTATGCAGTGCTGAAAGCTCAGGTCCTGCCTTCAAGGAGTGAAAGTTATGGGGATAGTGGATCAGCTTGAAAATACTGCTACTCGTTTTGGCCTTGATTTAACAAACATATCAGTCTCCAGGGACATGCTGGGACAAGCACAGTGCCTGTCCCAAAGGACATCTTCCAGAAAGATGGAAAAAGGAATTAAACCCAGACTGGAGGATATTAGGTTGTGACTAATTGCAAAGTTTGCACTTGGCTTTTTAAGTTTTCCAGATGGCATTTACATGCCATAAAGCATGACATTTTAGAGCGCAAAGTATATCCACACAGCTGTGCACCCCACCCCCATTCCAGGTTGTTTTCTCCACCCCAAAAGGACGTTCTGTGTCCACTAACTAGTCACCTTCCCTTTCCTCCCCTGACGTGGTGCCTCGGCACCCCCTGGTTATCAGCCTGCTCCCTGCCTCTGCAGATGCGCTTGCGTAGGGCGTCTCACACAGTGGGCCCGCACCCTGGGGGCCTTTCCCGTCTGGCTAGTGTATGTTTCTAGGCTTCCCTGGCCACAGCCCAGCCCAGCCGTCCCTTCTGACTGGCACTCCCTTGTGCAGATAAACACGTGGTGATCATTCATTCCACAGTGGATGGACATGTCCTTGCCTTTAAGACTGTGTTTCCAGAGGGCTCCTGGACCCCCTGGATGCCCTGCCCTAGGCCTGCTCAGGGTGTCCCCGTTCTGCAGGAGTTGAGGACAATCTCCACGTGCACTGGTAGCAAGCAGCCTCACTGCAGGGCTTGGGGTGCCACTGCTGCTCCTCCCAGGACCTCAGGTCACCCGAGGGCTCCCATGCCTGCCCATGGGTCTGCCTCCTGCAGGAGATGCATAACTGCCCCCCTCCTCTCCTGGGGTCCCTTCTGCCGCCATGTTTACTGGCCGCCATGTTTACTGCTTCATCGCCAGACTCAGGACATAGTTTCCTTTATTGTTTTCCTTTCGGGATAATGGAGTCTGGCTGTGTTGCCACCACCTGATTCTCTGGGTCTGGCACTCATTGGTCTGTCTCTCTCTTTTCAGGTTGACCCCGTGTTCACCAGGGAAGTGAAAGCCAGGGTCAAGAGGTAAGGGAGGGGAAAAGGCACTTTGCACGAGGGGCCCAAGTGGCTAGTGAAAGGCACAGTTCTCTCCCCCGGAGTCCCAGGCACTGCGCCAAGCACCTTGCTGCTGTCACGCCTTTTAATCCTCCCATGATCCTATGAGATCCTGTTTTTGGCTCCCTTGTCCAGGCAAGGAAACTGATAGGCCAAGAACGTAAGACGCCCGTCTTACTGGTCTTCAGGGAATGGCCAGGGAGATCCCTTGGGAATCCTCATTGGAAAACTTGAAAAGAGTTTGGAGGAATGCAGGGAAACGGTACAGTGTGGAAGGGGAGAGAGAAGCTTCAAGATGGTGATTGTGGGGTGACAACCCCGCATATGAGGATGGGGGTGACAGTTGGTCAGAAAACAGACCACGACTACAAGCTGTGTGTCTCTTTCACTATGTCTCTCTTTTAATATTTCCACTTATTATCTTTTTTAAATATTTTTTTTTAAGAGAGAGAGAGAGAATTTTAATATTTATTTTTTTAGTTTTCGGCGGACACAACATCTCTGTTTGTATGTGCTGAGGATTGAACCCGGGCTGCACGCATGCCAGGCGAGCGCGCTACCGCTTGAGCCATATTCCCAGCCCAATTATCTTCTTATATACAATTATTTAATTATCTTGTAGTATTTAATTATCTTTTAATATTTCTGCTATTTATTGCTATTCATTTTCCCCTCATTAGTGTTCATAAAGTCATTTGGGGAAAGGTTGAATTATTAGAGAAGTGTTGTTTTCCTGGTCCTACCCAGGAAAGGGCAAAAGCCGTCTGACTCTCTGTGTTTGAGAACGTGTATCTCCCTAGTGAAGCTGGTCCTAAATGGAAGCCCGAGTTTCAGTCCCTTGTCACCCGGGTGTGGCCCAATGTGCCTCCTCACCCCAGGGTGTCCTTCCCTTTCCAAAGCCTCCACCAGCACTGCCAGCGTTGACCCACATGTCCCTCCTCGGGGGCTGTGGCCAGCAGCCCCTCCTGGGCCAGCTGGATGCAGCCCCTCCTGCTCTGTTTCAGGGCTGCCGGGGTCCGGCTGATGGGGGAGATGCAGCGGGAGGACCTGCATGCGGCCTTGAGGAACTGCTTCGCTCTGGTGAACAGCTCTATCTCCGAGGGCATGTCGGCCGCCATTCTAGAGGTAACCGTGTGAGGGGTCTCAGCGTGGGGTGAGACAGTCCCTTGGTCCCCCACTTGTGACAGTGATGTCTTTGTCAGTAACACTCTCCAAGCTGAAAGAGCAAAGCAGCATGACCTGCAGAGTTTAAAGCCCCCTTGCAGTTCAGTCTGGACCTCCAAAATGTCATCCCATTGCCCACGGCCACCGCCCTCACCAACTGCAGAGACAAATAGATGTGGCCTGTGTTGTCCCCCGACCCTCTGGGTCCCTTCCCAGGAAGGCCACGGAGCTGTTCAAAAGCAGCCTGTTTTATGCCACCTCTCCTCTGGCCGCACTGTCCTGAGCAGAAGAGTTGCACCCTGTCCCTGCAGGGGAGGGGACAGTGTTGCGGTGGACGCCGGTTGGCTCTGTCCTCTGTCTAGTGTTGGGGACATGCCATGGCCATGTGTGCATCTCCAGCACAGCTCTGCAGGCAGCGGCCAGAGCTGCCTGTGTTTGCCGGGCTGAGACCACTGCAGGAAGGCTCTGCTCGGGAAGTCCTGGTGAGCTCTGCTGGGCAATGCGTGCACTGTGAGAGGGCATCAGTCTGGTGTCTTCTTTGTAACCTGACCCCCTAAAGCATCCCTTGTCACTGGAGAGTTTTCTGGGAAAGGGAATGTGACCAGAGCGGCTTAACTGCTTCACTCTGAGTCCCCAAGATGGCTCTGGCACATGCCCACTGCACGGGCTTTCCCTTCTCTGGTGCCAAGTCTGATTCCCCACATCTAGGGACCCTGCAGGGTTGGTGCCAAGTCTGATTCCCCACATCTAGGGACCCTGCAGGGTGCACTCCTGTGTGATCCCACAGCTGGCCACTGTCTTAGTGTCTTGTCCACAGTGCACATGCTTTGGCCTGCACCAAACTTACTGACAAAAGGTATGATTTTCAGTTAGAGTTACAGACAACATGATAAAGTAGGACACGAAAATACTCTCTCTAAATTTAAGAAATGATTAGAGTTAATGTTTTCTTCCAATCTGGCATCATTTGGGAAGAAACACTCGGGAGCCAGTAGAAGCTAAATGCCGAGGCCAGGAATCGGCACTGGGAGGCTTTGAGAGCACAGAGTGAGAACCTGCAGTGGCTTCTTTCCTGCCAGGTGTCCACGCCCAGGTCTGTGCTTGCCGATCACACCAGCACCACTGGGCTCTCAGCCGCAGCGTGGGGACAACACCGTCCACCCTTCCTTTTAGCTTTGAATATGTACATTCTTAGAATGCACCCTTACAGCGGCTGCTGAGTTGCTCCTTTGTATGGAAATACACACTTTTTTCAACTTCTTAAGAAAAGGTAAAGCGGAGCCGGGGAATGATTTTATAACTAGCACACACAGCACTTCATCGCAGATGAATTGCTGTCAAACCTCGTTTACTTCAAAGGAAAGGCAGCTGTTGGCAATTCTGCCTGCCTTAAAATGTTGATGTTGTGTTCCTTTTGAAAAGTCCAAAATAACCTTTGGACGAAGGGTTCTGAATGGAACTGATTGTGGAGGCTGAATAGGGGTGCGCTTCATTAGGGGCAATTCAAGTAGCCCAGCGGCTCATCACCGAGTGGGCATGTTGCATCTGAAGGAAGTGATCTTTGACCTGTCAGAATCTGCTCGCTTCTCTATGGAAGCATGTGAGAGTGCCACTTGCTAAAGCACGTTCCTCCCCGACAGTGGGCTGGGT